CCTTCCAACCCCTAGCATTCTGTGATTCTGTGATTCTGTAACAGAGCCTTAAGCCTCTGAAAAAATCCGCAATACTGACCCGAACAAGTTTACGGGATCCTAACAGGTCATAGGCCAAAACACGTCAAACCCCCTGTGTGCTGATTCCAGCTCTGCACGCAGAGAGAACGCTTCCCTGGCACGACTCACCGTTGCCATAAGCCCAGTCATCGTTCATGCGGTGCCGCACCTTCTGGTAAATGGCAGACATGGTTTTCATGTTGCTCTTTCTCCACTGGCGCCCCAGGTATTTGGTCTGGATTTTTAACAGTTTGAGAACATACAGCTGCATCATGGCCTGCTTCACCTTCAGAGCTCGTTTCAGTATTGGGGCTGACTTGAAGACTACCAGCATCTGTCAAGAAATCAACACAAATTAATGCAACGTGTTCAAAAAAGCCTCACGAGTGCTGTCTGTGCAGCTTTGGGCACTAACACCTGGGCCACGTACGGTACAAACCCCAAGTGGGTAGAACAGCAGCGTTCAGCATAATCAATGCTGGCTGCATGGGGCTTGAGGGTCATAGAAGTATTATTTACAGAAGAAAATATATTTCTGCATTTAAGGCTTAATCTGTGAAAGAAAAATGGGCAGATTATGAAGCAGAAGAAGCTCCAGCACTGCCAGAAGAAAATCTCAGCAGGAAGGCTGGGCTGAAGCCCGCAGCGTAGAGCTGGGGACACGCTCGAGGTGCAGCGCTGGCAGCCCACGGCAGGTCTCAGAGAGACGGGACACCACCTTACCATTGTCCTCGAGTGTTTCCACTTGGTCAGCTTGTTGAGGATCCTCAGCAAGTTAATGCAGGAGAACAAATTTCTCCAGCAGAACTGGTTGTTGTCTCCGGCTTCCTGCAAAGCAGAGAAGGAAAAGCGTAACCCTGATGGCAGCATTCAACAGCACCGCCGCAGAGATACCCTTGTGCAGAAAGTCTTTATTTTTACTATCTGCACATTATTTCCAATGCGGAGTGAGCAGCAGAGCTACCGCCTCGCTCGGGTTGTCATCATGCTGCTGAGGAGCCAATAGATTCTCGGGAAAACCACGCTGAAAGACTCAGATGTAATCAGCATTTTAATTTGCATTTAGGCTTAGAGTAAGAGCTAAGATAAATCACATTATTCCGTCATGGGAAATAGATATTGTGGTAGATTTATACTCGTTGTTTACAGTCAGAGAGCAAATTACAGCCTAGTGATCACACCGCTTAGAAAACTGTTTTCGTTAATTACATAAATTAATTCATAAATTACCACATGCTTAGAGGACATATTCCAGACAAATAAAAGGAAATCACATTACAACGCGGGATGACAAACATTCGTATCAGGAGGACAAGACTTCTCTGTAACAAAGATCCCCTCCAGCTTAAGTGCAGCTGATGGATTATGTGAAGTATTAGCTAAATGTAAGCACCCCCAGCTCCACCCTGCGTAAATATTGCCTGTGGCACATTTGAGCAGCAATTCCACCACTACAGAACTTGCTTGACGTTTGAACAGCACTGAGCACAGCAGAAGTGTCCCACAAATAACCTATTTGGGGATGAGAGCGGGAACAAGTGCTGCTTAATTTATAAGCCACTTACAGCAAGCGACAGCCTTAACAGCTCATTGCAAAAACTGCAGCCTGGTGCACGATCCAGGCTCTGGGCATCCTTGGGAGGAGACCCAAGGGACCCCCTTCTGTCAAAGTCTCTAATCCAGCTTTGAAACTAGATTTACCCATGAAAATCCCGCCAGCAGAATACCTTTGTTCTTAAAAGCAAGCACCAAACCTATCGTTTCAGTAAGCTGGTAAAATGCTCTTGTACGTATAATTTTTAGAGGCCAACAAGAAAGTGCTTCTGACTTATTTAATTCTGTGATTTGGTAAAAGCCACTCATTTTCTGCCAGTAGAGGCTAAATCTGCGCTGGAGGCTCCTGTGCACACAGCGGAGTTTGCACAGCAGAGCGCAGAGGTGGGATGTCACCGCGATGTCACCACCACATCACCAAGGCACTCGCAGATGCTGTGTGCAGCTCTGGGGGTACCAGCTCAGGAGCAGTGCCCGTGCAGTTTCATATCGGTGCCCAGTCCTAATCTGCTCCCTCTGCACCAAGTAGTTTTTCCAAGAAGATCCCAGCAGAATAAGCTAATACCCACTTCACGGGCAGCTGGAGTTGTTTTTGTCACCAATCTGATGTTGCCTCTATAGCTTCAAGTAAGTGAAAGTCTTTCCATCAGATTTACCAAAGAAGGGAAGAGGATAAACAGGCTTTAATCCCCCTTTTACCCCAATGGCACCAGGACAGGGTGCAGCAGGGTCCTCTGCAGCCCCCTCCCCAACAACAGGGAGTGACAGGAGGGGGGAGATGGGGACCAGCAAGGAATCGAAGAGCCCGTCCCACAGCAGGATGGGTGAAGCCCCTGCAACCCTGCCAGGACTGCCGCCACTCCTGATTTACACCACATGGGGACAGCGGTTACCCCACAGCCTAAGGGTCCCTTCTCTGCTGACAGCACTGCTGAACTTGTCCCGCTTTTCCACGGAAGTAAACCAAGCACACACGCTCCTGCATTCCACCCACTAGAAGCACAATCATCTCTTATATCCGCTAAGAAACGTGTTACGGCTGGGGTGTTAAAATCAGTGCATCAGAGTATTAAAAAAAAAGCTAAAACAGGGTGTAAAAAGTTGGCTGAAGAAACACAAATATGTGCACGAGCGTATGCCTCAAGTACCAGGGCATGTTTAGTTTCTATTAAATCCTTACATTCACGGGTATCCTCCCAAGGACGACCACACATGGTAAAGTTCAAGTTGGTTTATGCATATTTTCTAGTTAAATTAGTCTCCCGTGACACTAACATCCATGTCTGCTGCAGGAAAGCCATGAGGCACCGCCGTTTAACGCAACAGCTCCCAAACTGAGGACCAGACCCTACTGGGAAAGGGTAACTGGGAATATTTTCGCTCAAAAAGGTTCAGTCTTCTCCTGCAGCCGTGGAGCTTAGCGTGAGGATGAGCCGTGGGAGCGCTCAGCGACATGTCACTAGATGTCCCCATCGGGCCGGGATGCGGTCGGTGGGAGCCTGGCAGGGCTGGAAGGCACCGAGCCTGGCCAGGACCTCCAGCCTGCAGCAAGCAGCCCACGGACCGCCACAAAATGGGACCGATCCCGTGAGGAGGAGGAGGGAGGAGAAGCCCAGGAGCTGTCACCCCGAGCAGGCACCCAAAAGGAGGCGAGAAAAGAAAAAAAAAAAGGAGGTTCTCCTTCCCCTCTACACTGCCCTAGTGAGGCCTCATCTGGAGTACTCTGTCCAGTTCGGGGCTCCCCAGTTCAAGAAAGATGAGGAGCTACTGGAGAGAGTCCAGCGCAGGGCTGCGAGGATGGTGAGGGGACTGGAACATCTCTCCTGTGAGGAGAGGCTGATCCGTCTGAACATGAGGAAGAACTTCTTCCCCCTGAGGGTGACAGAGCCCTGGCCCAGGCTGCCCAGGGAGGCTGTGGAGTCTCCTTCTCTGGAGATATTCAAGACCCGCCTGGACAAGGTCCTGTGCAGCCTGCTGTAGGTGACCCTGCTTCGGCACGAGGGTTGGACTAGATGACCCACAGAGGTCCTTTCCAACCCCTACCATTCTGTGATTCTGTGTGATTCTGTGATAAGCGCCGGTGGAAAGGCACGTGGGACAGCGGTGGAGGACCGAGCCAGCATGCCAGCCACACGTGAAGCTCCCACATCCACCCGCAGACGCTCCACAGTGGGTTTTTATATAAATTTGATCTGGCATAATCAACTCACGGCAGGCATTTGCACCGCAGCGGCACATCAGAGATGCCATGGCTACAGAGGCAATAAAACCAGTTTTGCTGTCCCACCTGACCACAGCCTTGGAGGGATTTGTGAGCAACTTTGGCTCATAGTAAGTAGGGAAAATCTTTCATTTTATTTTAGTGGTTTTAACCTTTATAAAGCCAAGGGAAATGACATAAGCTTAAGATTTTAGCAGCCAGGCAACATGAGATCATCCCTGCCTGGACTGGTTTTGCTCAAGCTCCTTAATGATTCCTGCATCATTTAGGGTCTCCCTTCCCTCTGATCCCTCTCCCTCTTAACCCCGAAGCTTGTCTCTGCTCTGCACCCTGTCCCAGTCCAGCCTAGCCTGCATCTGAACTATTGCAGTTACGAACCTGCCAGCATTAATGTCTCATCTGTAGTCTGTATATTCACCCAGTCCATCGTGCTGGCCAGTCTCCATAATACTTAGGCTCCTCTCCGCAGGGAATTTGGTTCATTCCTGAATCTACTGGCATCTTACAAAATGCGAGTGCTCAGAGCAATTTAAACCTGGGAGGCAACAGCCTCTGGGAAAATCCTTTTTAAAAGCAGGCTTTCTCATTTGGAGAAGTGAAAAGGAAAATTATAAACCCAATTATTTTTATGGGGTATACAACACCAACAGTGCCTGCTCCCCACCTCCCCATAGCTGATAGCGAGTCAGAATAGCGATGGGAGGAATTTTCAGTCCCGGAGCGGGGAAAAAAATAGTCTGATTTCAGAAAGGTTGGGGGTACAAAAAAAGAAGGCAGAAAAAAAGAAAATAAAAATCCTTCCTCACCCTCTTGCATATAGCAATACAGGTGACAAGGACCCTTTCTGTGCTGCTTACCAGGCTTTCTGCAGTGAGCTCGGGCAAATCATAGACTGTGCAATGTGGATAATCCAGGACGGAGATGCTGCAGAGATAGGAAAGAAAGGACTTGTTAAGAACCAGGTCAATATGAAAGCAACTACGTGACTATGCCCAACAATCTGTAACATCTTTCCTGTGCCTGGGGTCTGAATTGCAGCGCTGCCTCATGCAGCAAGTAGTTTGGATGGGTAGCAATCCCATCTCCAGCGAGCCGCGCCGGGCACGTGAACCAGCCGGCAGCCGGTGCCGCACGGAGCTGCCTCCCTCCTGCATTTCCGACTGCACAGACGGCATCCGAACGGGCTCCCAGCCTCACCGCTGCCTCGCGTCTCAGCTTAATGGAGCACATCGATTCCTCTTGGCTCCGAAGCACATCCTGAGTGCCTTAATAAGGACTCGAAGGATTTGGATCCATTAAGACATGACAGATTAGTTATTCATATGTGTATTTTTAAAAAGGAAAAAAAAACCCCACCAAAACAGATTGTAGGTTAAAATGGAGACATCTGATTACCAGCAAGAAAATTGACAATGAGGGCATCATGTTTTTCAAAGCCCTCCAGACCTATTGTCTTTGTAAAAGTACCCAATAAAAAAAAGAAAAGTGTATATATATAAAAAATGTATGTATACACGCACACACACTGACGCTATCTGTGCCCTGAGACATGCACCATCCTAAAAAGAAGCATGCCCTATCACACAGCTTTTGTTCTTGTATTCCTGCTTGTTTGCTATTTTTTGTTTTTAAATTCAGTAGCTGAGCAACAAGCTGGCTTGTAACCTGATCACGGAGTCAGAGGCAAGCCAGGATGAGACCCAAGGTCGGGATGCCCCATAAAACAGGCTTCTTTTAAAGCGTTTGGCCCAGGAAGGGCTTGTCTGACCACAAGGACAGATGCTCCTCGCTGGCTCCTACCCATCATAACCCTAAAACTGGAAGCGCCATGTGGATACATGCAGGAGAGGTCAGAGGGAGCCAGCTCAGGACCAGGAGCCCCGTGGCTCATTTGCCACAAGTCGTCATTGCACTGGCATCACTTCTGATATTTCCCGTTGCAGCACTGCTGGACTTGGGTCCATACATCTGAACGCGACAAAATCCCGCAATCCTTTTTGCAGTGCCCAACGTTGTTCACTGCCATCTGACAAACCGCTGCTCTGGGCTGGGCAGAACAGCTAAACCTCCTTGGATCAGAGCATCCAGCTGCAAAGGCCACCTCATTTCACAGGAGCGCATCCTGCCTGTGAAACATCTGTCAGAAAGCAGAGGGAGCAAAGTGCTCCTGGGCTGCATTTCCTCCTCACTTATGTGCCTTTAAAGTGCAAGACCAAGAGCGGAAGTTTTTATCAGCAAGGGAATTAATATATTACTTTCTATTTTTCCATGCGTGCCTTCTCACACATACACAACCATACCATGCAGGAGAGGGACCAGCCTACACACACAGCTGAAGAGCAACAAAAAGAGCATCAAAAAGCAAGAAAAAGGATCTTGTCATCGTTCCAACAGCAACATCCCGTGCGGTGCTCCCCTCCAAATGAGGAAATCCCACCCAGTCCTACCGAGTTGTGAAAACGTTGTACTCTTTCAGTTCTTACACTGGCTTGTGGTAGTCCAGCCAGTCCCTGTGCAGACTCAAAACTGGGCTAGTGGCCTTCTCAAATCAGAAGTAAAAGGCAGTGACAACTACGCAAAACCTGAACAAGTCAGGAAAGCTGAACTATAGCTATAAAAAGTGGAAAAGACCTAGAAGACTCTACCCCATCTAGCCTTTTTGAAGCTGTTGCCCACAGATGCCCAAGAGCACTGGACTGCTTTCCAGGAGTCCACGTAAATATGAAAACAAGCCTACTGTCAGCAAGGGAGACAGGTCTATGTGTATTTTAATAGCCCAGTGAGAGACTGGAAACCCCCCATCCAGTCCTCCTCATTAAGCACAGGGGATTTGCTCCCCTCCAGCATATTCCTGTAATGAACAGCATACTGCCCCAAAGCCATGCTAGGGACCAGAGGTCGCTTGGTCCCACCAAATATTCATGTGTGAGGGTTCCTCATGCACAAAGCCTCCCTGCTCCGTCACCTCTCTCTTCCCCAGAAGCGGCTGTACCTGTTTTTGGCAGTGATATAAGACATGATGTTTTGGTTGAAGAACTTCAGGATCAGCGGGATGCAGTTGGCAAACACCAAATGCTGGGACACGTACTCAAACTGGGGAAGAGAAGTGAAACAGGTCAACGTTAGCTGGAACAGCTGGGAGCATCACTTGGGAATGGAAACCCATTTCCAAGCCAAAAGCAAAGCAGTCTCGATGGTTTGCTCCAGACACCTCGCAGGCCACCTGCCCCTTGCAGAAGTCTGCTGTATAAGGCTTGCATCATACACAGCAGCTCCCACCAGCTGGAAAACTATTTGCCATAGAGTGGACACACAAACCTTATGGTAGTAGTTTGGGAATAGCTGCACCTAATGATTGCAGTGTAGCTTTTTAAGATAAAAATCTGAGGCAAAACA